GTTCATCGCCTCGTAATTCCCCCTCTCGCCAGCGGAAAAAGGCCCGGAGGACGGGAACGTAGAAGAGGACACGAAAGACCGGGGGGAGGGGGAGAGAGGGAGAGAGGGGGGGAGAGAGAGAGAGAGAGAGAGAGAGAGAGAGAGAGAGAGAGAGAGAGAGAGAGAGAGAGAGAGAGAGAGAGAGAGAGAGAGAGAGAGCCTGTTCACGGGGCAAATACGAGTCGATGATTTTAATTATTTAGTATCGCGAATAATACTCACGATCATCATCTTACTGACGAGGGGACCTTCCGCTCTCTTGTCTCTAGCTGTGTAACCACGATAACACTGGGCCCGTCTGTCTTCGGGGGTCCGCCTTAGTCTTCTCTTCCTCTTCTTCGCGAGTCGCGGATCTTGTCACAAGTGACGGCTATCCGGGCGAATGGTGGACCGTGGAGCGGGGATGATCCTCGTGGCGTGGTGGTTGGTAGCAGGGGGGTACGTTTCGGTACCGCGCGGTAACAGCCAGAGGAGACCAGAAAGAGCTCCGAGAGTTTCGAGGTCAGAGGGCGAATGATTGGTGGTACTCGCGCGGGCTACATTTATACCGCGGGCTCGTTCTCTCTTTCTCTCCCTCGCTCTCTCTCTCTATCTCTCTCCTCTCTCTCATCCCCCTCGCCGCTCTTTCCCACCCCCTACTCTCTCCTATCCCCCCGTTCTTCGTGGAGCTCGCGAGAGAGCAAGAGCGGATCGGCTCTCTCTGGTGGGCGCCACGTATCCACCACCACCGTCGCCGATGGACGTACGCATTCCTCCTCTGCTCGTCCTCCTGCTCGTCCGAGGGTGCGTACCGTGGCACCGTATCCTTTTACGTCACCACCATCACCGCGGTCTCCACCCAAAAGGTACGGTGGGATAGAGAGGGCCGGAAGGGCAGAGAGGGGCAAAATTTCGTTCGTGCAAAACTGAAATGAAAAGTCGCGACTGAGAGATAGAGACGTGATTGTTGCAGCTACGAGGGCGGACGTGCATGCCTCGGGTACAAACAGCTCGTAAATAACGTCCTTACAAGGAGATTTTCATTGTCGCAGAGTGAAAGGTGGCCGTGGTAAGCGGCAGGATATACAGTTGCCAACGGGCCTCCTTTGAACGCGCTTCTATCGATAGCCCGAGGCTCGGGTTTTTACTTGGATCTTACAACAAAAATTAGATACTTTAGCGCCGTGGAATATTTTCCCGTTGCCGGGTAGACCAGATTGAATTTTATGGCTTCGACTTTGACATTTCTGCCTGGTTTTTACGGGTGAAATGCACCAAAATGCGCGCAATCAAAAATTACAGTGGTTTCATTATTCGGTTCTTTCACGAAATCTTTCTCGTCGCAAAAAGCCTCGTACCTTTTCCCCGCGTTCTAAAGTTACAATATTTGCGAAAGTATTTCTTTGATGTGCTCAAATTTTCACGCATAATCGTAGATATAGAGGAAAGTCCCCTATTATGAGATAGCGGAGTTTCTGCTAAATTAATAGGCATCGTCTGTTGGTTTCACCATGAATTTATTGCCCTTAGAGTGACATCTGTTTAGTGGAAAATTGATTGTTAGATGGTGTGTAATAGTTGTCTGGACGTTGAACACCTACTATCTCATATTAGAATCCTATCTCATAATAGAGGACTTTCCTCTAATAATTTCTGAACTTTATGAGATCTTAGTTTCTTATCAAAGATAATTTCTCATAAAATGTAAATATCTTACAAAGGGACAAAGTTAAAATGTTGATATCTTACAAAGTATCGGGAAAAACGAAGATTTATTTTAACCTTCTTCTCTAGTATCTTCGTTAACTTTGTATAATTTTTTCCTCAGAGGAAACGGCAAAAGATATAATTATTTTCAAATCTATCGTCATAAAACTTTGCGATACCCTTTACTTATCGGGGTCGAACTGACGCCGGTTGCATTGCCGGGATTTAATCGTCGTAATTGAAGGCAAAGATTGTGGTAGATCATGGATTTGTTTATGACAAACTGTATACTTTATTGCCGAGACATGCGTGACGACCGTGAATGCGCATTTAGTGCAATTCCGATGCTACGAATGATGCACACCCACGCACACGCAGCAGCAAAATACTGCGAAGCTATCGATGCGATCCGCGGAGCGTAAAAGGTTATTCTTAAGAATCGCAATCTCTCTGACGAGAATCCCCGCTTACGCGGGATTTCCGCACACAAACGAACGTTGATTTCGCAATCTACGTAACCGCAATTCCATTCGCGGCGTTGCAAGAAAATCCTGCGAGCTGCACCTCCAATGGAAAAATGTCGGCGTTTTCTTTCCTTTTTTCCGTAAATTTTTACCACCGTCCTGCAAACGACATACAAAAACTTCCAGGAATGTTATAAGTGTACGCGACGGGACGAGACTGGTCTCGTGATCTTTTATGATGAACCGCGATCTCTTGTTATACTGTCACATCTTTAACTGTTATGTCTTTACGGACCTAGAGACCCTGTAATCAGAGACTGGCCATAGGAGTTCGTCAAATTCCCGCGACTGAGAGAGAAACATAGGCTATCTCACTCTTCTACGATCGCACGATTCTACGATCGTAGAAGAGTGAAATAGAAGTCGCCGGAATTTGACGAAATCTTACGACCAGTCTCTGATTACAGGATCTCTACGGACCGTTTGCTGTCCTCTTCGCTGTCCTCGAAAGGGATCCGCGTAACAACTGCGGGATAACGCTCACTCGTATGGATTTCATCAGAAAGCACAAACGAGACCCTGTCAAGTGCCAATATAACGTGCAAAGTAAATTCATTCTCGCGATTACGCCTGCATCCGTCTTGTCTCGGAATACCAAGTAGTAAGAACAAGTGTATACGCCGACAGGTAGCGCACATAAACGACGCAACAAGAATTACGTTGTAATTGCGGGGAAAAAACTGTGCTCGTGCAAAAATTTACTGTTATTTTGGGACTTCATAATGACAATATTTCGTAGCAGTTGTTGCACAGAGAAAGAACATATAGATAAAAATAATGAATGCGAAATGGTATCGCGACGCATCGACACAGTTTCATTTCTACCCGAATCCTATTTGTCGTTACTGTATTGTATTGTATCTCTTTTTCTTTATTAATAAGAACAGCTCGGGATTGGAAGTTTATGGCACGCGATCGATATGTTATATTTGAAATAGTCGAGTTTCGATTAACGCAATAAAACTATGCACACGTGACATATACCTTGTTCTTTTACAGCCGTATACATTTATTTGCCAAGTTATGGGCGTACTTCATATATTTTCTCAATAGCTAGCCAGATTAATTAAGATAAGCGACCATCTCTCTGCGCGCTATGCGGGCCACAATGGGATTTTTTATGTACTAACGCTTCAAGGTGTGTGTTTGCGATGCATAAAACACGCATGAGTCGTAATTGCAGTCATAAATAGACGCAGTCATAAATTGGAAAATCGCTATACATTTCAATTAATTCGATAAAGACAATCATATAAAGCGATAAAGCGCGCATGTGATTAATTGAGAACGCCAGGCGAGTCTATGAACATATGGGTCATTCCAGATTTACAATCAAAATTTTGATTCGCCTGATAATTTTTTTTCTCGTTCT